TCTCTCTTTTGGTTATTTTGTGGGGTTCCCCCCCACCCCAGTTTCTTCTCTAATTATAAAACATTTTTAAGACTGAATTTTCCTCAGAATACACATTTGGCCATATCTTGGAGACTTTGACATATTCTTTTTTGTCATTAATTTGTAAGTAGTAATTCTGGTTTCAATTTTTTTCTTTTAGAAGTGGTTCTTAATTTCCACACACTTAGAAAGCTAAGGAAGCTCTCTCTTTGCTTTTAAACTCAAGGTACATTGCAGTATTGTTACTGAATATGATCTGCACAGTCTTTACTCCTTAGAATTGTTTTTCCCTGTGGCTTCAGTATATGATCCATTATTGGACAGGCTCTATGGGCATTCAATAAATGTGAATTCTCTATTGTGCACAAAATCACTTACCTGTTAAATATTATCCAAACCTTCTGTGTCAGACCTGATTAATAGTATTTTGTGATGATGGAAATGTTCTGTGTCTGTGCTGTTTGATACATTAACCACTAGCCATCTGTGGCTACTGAGCCCTTGAAATGTGGCTAGTTTGACTGAGGAGCTTCATTTTTAACTAAATTTAAACAGACACATGACTAGTGTCACCGTATTGCATCGCACGTTCTGTATCATTCATTAAGTGTGCACTGAGCACCTATTATGTCATGTACTGGTGCAGGTACTAGGCCAGCAGCAGCAAGCAGAACAGTCCCTGTTCTAGTGGGAAGACTGACAGATACACACCGTGACATATGCTAAGTGCCATAAGAATTAAAGTAGGCTAAGTGGATTGAGGGTGGTAGGGCGTACAACTTTAACTGGGTAGTCAGGAAGACCTCTCTATGGTGACATCTGGGTAGATGCCTGAATGAGAGCAGGGAGAAAGGCATGTATTTCTGAGGAAGCTGTTCCAGGCACAGGGAACAGCAAGTGCAAAGCTCTTTATATTTATCCCCTGTCCATTTGATCTGTCAAACTCTGAAAGGTGGAGTATTGGTCTGTTATGGGTTGATCTGTATCTCCCAAAAAGATATGTTCAAGTCCAAACTCCCGGTACCTGTGCAATGTGTCATTTGGAAATAATGTCTTTGCAGATATAATTAGTTAACATGAGGTCATTCATACTGGAGTACGGTAGACCCTACTCCACCTTACTGGTATCCTAAGAAGAGACACAGAGACAGATGCAGATGGAAGACAGCCATATTTTTCTCTTCAGCCCCCTGGGAATTTTAAAAAGAGTTTACAGCTTTCTGGGTTTTCTCTTTGGTCCATCCCAAGCAAAGCATGGATTAAATGTTCTTTGCTTATTAACAGCCTTATTTCAGTGATACCATAGTCTTATTTTACCACAAATTTACATTAGTAAGTTTTTTCATAGATGCTTGCCGTTGTGGAGAAAGACATATATTTCGAACTTGCAGGTACAGAAAAGAATAGAAATGGTACTGACTGACACTTGCAGGACAGCGGACTTCTAAATTTGTTTTCTACTAATAGTCTTGCAGAACAAGAATGAGAAAAAGACCCTTTAGATTCAGACTTGTGCTGTGAATTTTAATTGAAAACATTAAACGGTTTATTCAATGAATTATAAAACTTGGAGAGTTAAATTCTATCATTTATGAGGCATTTATTCTTCATATTTATACAGACCTGAAAGAAACTTAGCATACTTGTGTTTTCTGTTCTCCATTTCAGGGCAAGATTATTAAGAGAGGGCCTAAACTGTTTATAAATCAAAACCCAGTTGGGTTACAAATGAAATATAAAGAAAACAACCTACACACAGCTGCGCCATAAGAACATAGGTGGTTTTTAACACGTTTTGAGTAGGAAAACAATTGAGCTTATTCACATGAGACAAAAGCAGGTGCTACAGTAAAGCTGAACCACAAAAACTCCAATCAGTTATTTTTAGCATGCCTCTTAATTTTTCTGTCCCCTGGTTTCTTGTCTTCTGTTCCCGAATCTTGAACAGGTAACCACTTGAGGGGGTGCCGGCGATAGATGGGCCACGGAGGAAGTGTCAGCTGGGCAGAACAGAGAGAAAATGCATCACTTACAGCCATTAAAAGGTTAAAAGAGCATTGTGTATAATGCCTGGTTCCCAGATGACTCCTATGCTAAAGATAAAAAGATAAACATTGCTGTCCCTATGAAAGCTCTGTCAGCACTCAGACGAGATACTGTAAGATGATGGAAACAAGCAGCACTGTTTAAATGTACGGCTTTAACAGCTCAAAGATGAGAGGGCAATGTGAGAACCATGAGAAATTCTTGCTAGCTTCGATCTTAAGACTGCTGCTTGGAGGAGCTGCCAAAGAAAATGAGCTGTATCCTTTTATACAGCTCACAGCACCTGACACTCTTTGGCATTCTGCTTTCCCAATGACAGTAAGAGGAAACTGATGGGAAAGGAGGCGGGAAATGCTGGCTAGCTGAGAACTTGCTGGTTCTCCACTACTGGCTCCAACCAAATAAACACAATTTTCAGAAAACCTTAGGTGCCACTAACATCCAAACACAAATTTCTTACCAAACATGAAAAAGCAAATCCGGCCATAACTATATAGACAGTCCATCCGAACTGTTCAGCCACGTACCCGTAGATAAATCCAACTATCTAAAGAAAGACAAACAGTATATTAAATACAGGCACACTGGGGAAGGAAAAAAAAAAAAAGATTGGATGCAGAACCAATACTTACTGCAGAAAAAAGAATAATTCCCTGAAACATCTGTTCAGCTAGCTTCTGACCCTTGTAATCCTAGAGATGAAGGAGAGCAAAGCAGGAATTGGTTTCATCATGGAGGAGGTCTCTTTCCTGCCCTGGCCTCACAGCTTTGGTGCAGGACAATCTCAACATTAGGGACTCCCCCGAAGACTTAAGCAAGGAGCCCAATTCTGGGTTTCCCGGGGCAACTGAGCATCCTAACAGAGCACAGGCAGTGGGATCCTCGCCGGGGAAGAGAGAGAAGCACCAAGGAGGCACAACTCAGGGAAGAGGCTGGAAGGTAACCGCACTGCACCGGGTCGGTTTTCAGACAAGGGTTAGGAGCCGCCGGGCTCAGAAGCGGCGTGCAGGGATCCCGTGCCGTGCCCTGCCCTGCCCTCACCATTTGCGTGGGCAGCGAGCCCAGAGCCTCCAACATGACTGCCTGAGAGGATGGGCGGCGCAGCGCAGACGGCGGGCAGCGGGGCGAGAGCCGCAGAGACTCAGAGATGGTCGCGGCAGGAGTCTGGGCCTGCGTAAAGCCTGGCGGGCCTGCCGAGCCGGGGAGCGTGATGGCTGCAGCCCCGGAAGCGGATGTCTCCGACGGTCCGAGCCAGCCGGTGGCCCCTCCCCGCGCCATCGCTAGGCGACGTGCGCTTTTAGAACTGGCTGTTGCTCGGCGCACCGCCCGCGAGGGCTGAGGTGGCAACGGCTGCGGCCGGGCTGAGACATTGCGCGCCCGACGCGGGTTCGCCGTCAGTGCCGTTGGGTGCCGCGATCCGCGGCCCCGGTGTCTCAAACTGTCTTCGGCCGCACCTCCGCGGCCTGCCGGTCGCTGGCGCGTGCCGCGTCTCCATGACGACGTGCTTTCTCTGTGAGGACCCCTGCGGAGGGGCTGCCCTGCGGCGCCTGCTCCGCGCGACGTTCCCGCAGTTGGAGCAGCCCGCGGGCCAGGGGTTGCGGGACTGCGGGGCGGCCTCGGAGCGAGTGGGCGGGCGTGCACGTCGCGGAGTGCAGGAGACTTGGGTGGCCCGGCGGCGGGCCGGGCTCCGGGGCCTGCAGTGCGGACGCTGAGCTGGCGGGGCGGGCCGGGGCGCGGGCGGCAGCGACTGCGGCTCCTCCTCCGACTGCAGGTAAGGGCAGCCTGCGGCGAGCCTCTGCGGAGAACGGCTTTCTGGAGACCTAACCGGCTCTCTCCGAGCCCGAAGCGTCGCCACAAGACCTCCGGATCACTCCTAAGCGTTAGGTACCCTTGTACCCCTAGACTTTAGTGGTGACCACCCCAGGCCACATCCTCGAGAGGGGATCCCGTGCCTGGGCCGCCCCTCGCACCAGCACGGAGGAGAGTTCCCGCCTGGGGCTCTCGAACTCGGCCCACCGGCACCCTCGCCTTCTTTACTCCTCACAGACCCAGACCAGACTCTCCCGATAGAGGCCAGCCAAGGATTCGCTCTACCCCTCTCTCGAGGCTGCTGTAGATCTCAAAAGCTTAGAACGTTACTCTGTGCTAGGTGAAGTGCCCACAGTTTCGGGGAGAATCTTTCTGGGGAACCCAAACCTGTGGGTGCCACCTGGCTTTCTGGCTTCTGCTGGTGTTGCATGTCAGGATTAGGCACAGACTGGGGGATTCTTGGCACTCCCAGGCAGGGTGGTGTGTGGCTGCCGCTCTCATTCATGCAGTCTGTAATTATTCACAGCACCTTCTGTGTGCCAAGCAGTGGGCCCAGACTTTGACGAAGACCAGGCCTTTGCCTTCCTGGATCCCAGAGTGTGTCAAGAGAGATAACCACACAACCCTCGAAATACACAACAGCGGGATTAGCCGTAGAGTAGGGAGTGCCCCAAGTGGTGTAGCGGCTTGACTCCTGGCAGAAAGGTTAGTGGGTTATAGAAGACAGGCCTGGCCATCTGCTTCCAAAAGGTCACACAGCTTTGAAAACCCCACGAGGCAGTTCTACTCTGCACACATGGGGTCGCCATGAGTCAGAAGTGACTCCACGGCAACGAACAACAACAACAGCAAGGGACGACAAGGGAAGCTGGGGGATGTGGGAGCCTCAGGGGAGGTGGCAGCCCAGTGTGGAGGCTGGGGGAGGCTCCACTGATTCCGGAAAGCCAAGCAGGAATTAGCCAGATGAAGAGGTAGGAGAAGGTGAATGTGTATCTTCAGTACCTTCAGCTTTTCAGCATGGAAGGGATGACAGTAAAATGCTTGACCCTTTTCTGACCTCAGGAGGAGCCAGTGCATGGGAAGGGCAGAAACAGAGGGGGGTGGCAGGAGTTTATACTGGTCTCCTTCTGATGCTGTGTATTATTCTTGGTGTGTTTTAACAGGCATTCTAACCATTGTATGCAAATACACTTGTCCCTCTATGTTGTCCCTCTTCAACTGCATTTCAGAGGGTGGCAGTTGCTGTGGAGACTATGGTACTTGAGCTATACAATGGGAAAAGGGCATTGCCTCTCCACTTCTGTTAGAGAGAGCTCCACTGGAATCTGTTTATTCTTATGCTGGAATTTGTTTTCATGATTATTACCAAAGACTGCATTCCCTTTTTGAGCTGAAAAGCAGCCTTTCTTCTAGATTAGCACGATTGTTCAATAAATACCATGTGCCTACTACTGGTTGCCAGACACGGTTTTGGGTAGTGGGAATACATCAGTAAACACTTTCACTGGGGTCCCTGTTCGCATGCAGTTTACATTCTAGTAGGAAAAAAGCCAAACCCATAGCCATCAAATCGATTCTGACTCATGGCAACCCATGTGTTACAGAGTAGAACTGTTTTATGAGGTTTTCTTGGATGTAATCTTTATGGAAGCAGATCACCAGGCCTTTCTTCCATGGTGTAGCTGGATGGATTTGAACTACCAACTTTTTCGTTAGACAAGTGCAAACTGTTTGCGCTACCCAGGGACCTTACATTCTCGTAGGGGGAGACAGAAATAAACAAAGACGCAAATGAGATCATCTCATAATGGTCAGCTCCACTGATTGCTACTGAGGGGATGAGTAAAAGGAGGATAGGAAGATGATCTTGGTCTTTGGTGTGAAGGGAGCAGTAGGAGGTTGGAGGAGGCTAGAGAGAATGGGAGGAGAGGAAGTGGAGCTAGAGACTTTAAATCCATTCAGGCTTTTAGAGGGAGGGAGAGCAGAGAAATAGGTCTGTGTGTCTTTTTTTTTTTTTTAAATTAACTGAAAGATACCAGAGCATGATAGTATAATGATAGGTGTGATCCAGCAGAGGGGGAAAGATGATGCTTCAACATGGAAACAATTACAAGATTTCATGGGAACACTTGATCCACAGTAATAGGAGAGAAAGCAGAAAAAGGGCACAGCTGTTAAGAGTGTGGGTGCAAATACAGGTAGCTAGCAAGTTAAAGAAAATAAAATGTTCTTTTCTCCTAAGGTTTCTTCACCCACATTTCTGGGTATGCCCACCCTGGGCCTGTGTCTGTTTTGTTTTTGTGAATGATTTGGGAATGTGAAGGTTTTATAATTCTTAAGCAAAAGAAATATTAATTTTCATAGAGAACTAACAATTGAATTTTGCTGATCAAATTGTACACGACTGGGTCCTCTTACACAAAAAATTTAGCTACTATTACACATCCAGGGTCTACATGCAGTTTTGTTTTGAGTGTTCCTTATAACCAGGTCAGCCAAGCTCTGTTACCAGGAAGAGGAAAGGGAAGGGACCAGGCATAATCCATGATAATTGGCATTTTGTACGTAGGTAACTGTGGAAGAGTTTTAGCTGCATATGGTTTCTTCA